AGTGGGATTGACCGTCACATTATAACGCCCCCCACGGCTGAAAGGGCGAGCATGTTTGGTGGGATGCGGATTCGAACCCGCGACCCTCAGATTGTGAGTCGAGCGCCTTATCCACCTGGCCATGCCGGGCTTTATTTACGAAAGGACTTGTATTGCTGAAGTTCTCGGAAATAATTTCTATGGACCAGAGACATAACACTACAAATTTTTTACAGCATACTTCTTCTTGGAAATATCCATTATTGTTATTAACACAAGTGCCCAGAAATGAAAGTGTGTGATCTTTTTCGATTTCGATAGGCATGATAGGTATTTAGGTTAATAGTATATTTCATTCCCCGAAGGGGAATGAAATATAACCGGGGGCGGTCAGAAACTTCTGTTTCTCTTCACCCCACTACACAATTAGAAATAAATTGCCGAGGCTTTTATGTATTAAACGCTTGCATGAGTGGTGGTTTTGACTTATAGTTTTTAAACAGGTAATTTTCAACTTGATGAGCCCACAAGTTGAGGGAAAGGCTGTGAGGAGAAGTGGAGAAGAAGAGAAAGACGGAGATCTTCACTGGGTTATTTGTTGACACTGGCAGTTTTCTTACTTTCTGCTGGACTTGGCGTTGAATGGCCACGCGGCGTCGGTTGTTTGTAGAGCAGAGCAGGGAGATGTAGATCGAGTACGTCCGTTGATGACTAAAATATTAATACTAAATGATTGCAGAGTTTTGGTTAGCAGATTAAGGCTTTACAGTTTACTGTTTAGACATTGATAGAGAACAATAGAACTAAAGAGTTACATTTAACCTGGGCTGGTCCTTTTCATGGCTAAGATCTGATGATCCAAAGCATAAGGAGAAATTTTGCTGTAGGAGGAAACGGGAGTACCCCGAGAAACCTTACTTTCACGGCCAGAGCGCCGAATAAAATACCCTGACTGTGCTCGGAAAATGCTGTGGAAGAATGCATATTGTTAGTTAACATAGGGTACAATCAATGTAGCTGCTGGCGATATTTGAAGGCTGAAATAGGCTGGCTAGGTGAAGAGGCGACATCATTCTCTGAGTGGTCGGTTCTTGGTATAGCTGGATTGGGCTACGGTTGATTATTCAAAAGAGCTGGACCTTTGTAGCTGGATTGTGCTGGGTGATGTGGGGGCTTTGGTTGAAAATGCGTCTGAGGTTCTTGTCGTGGCTTTCGTCAGTCTCTTGGAGTCAATGTCGTTGAGGTCTTCAATCTGAATTATTCGGTCTTTCTTGGCGATCCTAGTCTGTGTTTCTTGGTGTACAGGTCCGAAACTGTCTGTTGAGGTAGAGGCGTCACACATGATTTGTAGGAGTGACATGGTTGATATTGGTGAAAGGGTTTGTGTCTGCTGAGACGTTGTCTGAAGATTAGTTGTTTAAGTACTAGAGTTTGCTTTCACGGATGTTTCACTTGAAGTGGAAGGCGGTACTGTATCGGGAGCAGGTAAGGTGCCTGGAAACTGTCGTTTTTGATAAGTTATGGGTTTGTTGGTGTATGATTCGTGATCTGGAGGTTTAAGGGGAAGAACGGTGGAAGGTTGGTAGCGTCGTCTGGGTCTTTTGGCTATAAAGTGAAAAAAGAAGTAAAAAAATCATTAGTTAGTCAGTGCTCTGCAGTGACTTTGGAGGTATAACAATCTTAATGTATTGGGTTGGCAAGTTCGTGATTCTGGATTGGATGCGGTGAACTGTGTGGATCTTGTAATCTGGTATGGCTTTCAGGCTTGTGTGTATGTCATCGGTAGAGATGGATTGGTCGATATTTCTAAGGAAAACAGAAAAAAGTTGAGAATTTGCTCTAGGAGGTTTACATGTAACTGGACGGTTGGAGTTCCATGGGGAACAGAGATAAGTTGTGTCTTCAGGAGTCAGGGGTTGAATAAAAATTCCTCCCCTTCTTAAAAGTCTTGTCTTGGTCGGGTCGATGGCTACATCGGGTTTGGGTTTTCTTAAGAAAACATTAATCCGGTTGAGGGAGAAGTCTTTAAGGATGCCGTCAATAATGACGGGCGAAGCCGTAGGCGAGCGTTGAGTGAGTTGTATTTCCGCAGGAAGGTTAGCCACTTGAGAACGGAACTTGGTGGAACACATCTAAATGGCACGAAGTATCGGCAGGAATCCTTAAAACAAAAAAGTGTGATCTTGCTGATGTTCCACAGGAAATTTTATACTCTTATGTTTATTGTTAAAATATTGTTAAGACAGCGGAAGTCACGTGATGCTGGTAACACGTGATGAGTTTCTAGAAGGATCATGAAGGCCCGAGTGCATTCGAGACGCCCTCTTTTTTAATATATAAACCTGGGGAGTAAAACCAGAACGATAGGCAGATAAATAGGAGAGATATAGATAGATTAAAGATAGAGATAATTGAGTCAAGCGAACAGCAGGCACCGTAAGTAAAGTGTGTGAATCACTGTGATTTATAGCGTGTGTTATAAAGGTTGTTAAGTTTAAAGTGACTATGGAAATTAAGTGTATTACAAAGTTTGTAACGAGAACTAGTTTTAATTAAGAAAGGACTTGTATCGCTGAAGGTCCTCGGAAAGAATTTATACCGGAAATTAACAAACAAGTAGATACGTAACACCAAGAACAAAGCGAGTTTTCGTGGCAACGGGACCCAAGCCGTGAACCCTCAGATACACAGTTCAGACACGCTAACCCTTCGCCACAGCCAGCAACATAGAAGATTTGTAATGCTTGTCTGTTATATATGCCCCCTAGTGGCACAGCGGCATGTCTGCGGACTTACAACGCTAGAAACTGGGTTTCGATACCCATGGTGGGCAGAGTACAGATAGCCATTGTGTAGCTTTGTGCTTAATTATAAGCAAAAAACAAACTCTTATATATAAATAACTTATCATCTCATCCCCTTATGACAGCTAAGTAGCCAATATATGCTATATTGTAATTATAATGGAGCTTGCGATGTATACGTCCAATTGAAATTTCCACAAAAATGATATGTTTCAGATTCAACCAATATAAATTACAAAAAAAGGAGTAAGTTTCAAATATAAAACAATCAAAAAGCAAACTGAAAAACAATTATTTGTTTTCCTTAGTGAAAATATCGTGAGTGTTGCAACAGGAAAGCAAGGCACTTTCATTGATAACTACGTTTACAAAGAAATATGTGAATAAAATCTACTCTGTGATGTAATGCTGTGATGATAGATAACTAAAATTTCAATAAAATCCTTTTTCTCATGGATTGTGAATTATTGAATGTCAACCATGAGTACATTGTTGTAGAACTGTTAGACAATTCCAGAAAAAGGCCGCAGGTCCAATATTTTTCCGCAGGATTTGTTTGTTGGAAGTTAAGCACAAAGCTACACAAAGGGCTATCTGTGCTCTGCCCACCACGGGTATCGAAACCCGGTTTCTAGCGTTGTAAGTCCGCAGACATGCCGCTGTGCCACTGGGGGGGGGGGGGGCTTTCCGCAGGAACTAGCAGTTATACCTGCCCGGAGGGCGGATATTTCTGCTAGTTAAAAATAATGGAACAATATGAAAATACTTTTTTTCACCAATTTCGGCTACGTTATGGGGCGCTGCGTTAGTTGTTGGATATTGTTATGTTGTCACCGAAAAGTAAAAAGTAAGATTAAGGAAAAAGATGTGGCTGAATTACGAATTTAAGATATTTTTCATTCTAATTCACAGTTTGGTATGTTCCACTTTACAGTACCTAATAATTTAGTGTCAGCTCTGTTTAAGCGTTAAGTTTTTACTGATAATACTTCTGTTAGTGTTATATTTTGAAACTTAGACTCCAACGTGTTGACACGGAAACTTCCGTATGCGTAAGTTTGACCAAAAAAATTACACTCGGTCGGGCATGCAGTTCAATGTGCTCTGTAATAATTTTCCTAAGGGAGGGTGTGAAACGACAGCTTTGAAGGACCAAACGGTCTCTTGTTTTCCATAGGTTATGTTCATAGCCATAGTTTGCAAAGTATGCTCTAATTATTATTTTTTATGCAAATAAGAAAAAGCAAAGTCCAAGCACTGGTCCTAGAGACAGTCCACTAATAGTAATATTAATAATAGTAATCTTATTATAATGGAGCTTGAGATGTAAACGCCCAAAATAAGGATCACGGAAACTACCACACCGATCATCACCAATCATAACTGGGTAATATTTTTATAGCTGAGTAATAAATAAAACAATTGAAATTTCACAAAAATGATATGTTTCAGATTTAACCAATAAAAATTACAGAAAAACGAGTAAGTTTCAAATAGAATACAAACTTGAAAAATGATTTGTTTTTCTTCAGTGAACATCTCATGAGTGTTGCAACGGAAAAGCAAGACACTTTCATTAATAACTGCATCTACAAAGAAATACTTCAATAGAATCTACTTTGTTACTCTATTACTTTAGTTAAAACATTATGGTATTACAGGAAATATATGTAATTGGATTGAAGAATGTCTCATAGATTTCAATGTGTCACAGTCAATGGAGAAAAAGTCTGGGTGGAAGAAGTTATTAGTGGTGTTCCCTAGGCCTCGGTGCTTGGACTGATCTTGTTTGCTATATTCATTAATGATCTACCTAAGAATATCAAATCATCATGCAAAATTTTTGCTGATGATTTTAAAATATATAATTCAGTAAGAACTAAAGACCAGGTTGAAGGGTTATGGTCTGATCTCAAGATATTAACAAATTGATCAAAGAAATGGATGTTGGATTTAATATTGAAAAGTGTAAAGTTATGCATTTGGGAATAAGTAATACCAAGCAAGTTTATTTCATGAATAGGTTTAAGCTAATTGTTACAGATACTGTAGTGGCCACCAAGGGGAATTGAAGCCCTGATTTTAGTGTTGTAAATCCCATTGTCCCACTGGGGGGAATTTTAATTTTTTTTTTTGGTTAGATCATTAGGGCATATTGCAGCTCTCGAAATGTTATAGTCTTAGACAGAAATAAAACATGGCTCTTCTTTAAAGGGTTGCCAACCCCTGCCATAGTCTTTCCACTTCTTTCATGGACATGGTTTCTCAGGTTTGTTACATACTCTGTCTATCTCCTGTGTTGCTTTTCTTTGCCTTCTCTTCTCCAATTGACCCTTTCTTTTGACTATTATGTTTTTCCTCCTCCTCCTGAACAAATTTTATCCCACTTTGTTCTAGTGCCAGCATGTCTCGTCCTCCTCTCTTGGTTGATACACATGCCTTAGCTTATCATTTCCCTGAGGGTTTTTGACAGATAATCATTCACTTATCTTCTCTACTTTGAAGCATTTATCTTCCTTGATCTTATCACTTCATATTTGGTTGCTCTGCTGCTGGGATTTGTTGGCGAGGAATGCTCTGCTCACTCTTTCCACATAAATCCTTTAGTCACTGTGGCTAATGCAGTGAAATAGCATTAGCCACACCATGTAAAGTATTAAACTTGTGTTAGTGGGTATATTGAAGCTGTTGAATGTAAATGTATTATATTTGAGGTACTAATAGTAGTATAATGAAGCTGTGAATCTAAGAAGGATAACTTTGAGGCGTCTATTATCAAAGCAACCATACCATCAACATTTATACTACATAATATATATGTATATATATATACATAAAAGACAAGAAGTTTTATCTTCAGGAACTTTTTTATGTTGTAATATAATACAAGAACAAGATTAGACGTAAACTAAATGACTACTAGTATGTAGCATTGCACTGGTAATAATCATCAATACTGATTTACATAAAAATTTATATGACTAAGATATTGAGTAATACTTTGTTGCAATACTGTAAAATTGTATTAAACATGCAACAAAAGCTCTGACAAAATCTTGATGTAATCATGAAAAACACTTTATGTTTGAAAACCTGTAGCCAAAAAGAGATCCATTGGAGAGTCACACACTTTATGGGACTCGGTAGTCAGGGTTTGCAACCCGTCCAGTCCTTTGTCCATGGATAACTGTGGATGCTTCTGAGACTCGGAGGCTGAGCTTCCCTCTTTGTTACTCTGTCAGACTGGCCTTCATCACAGCTGCATAACCTCTTCTGTCCTTGGTAGCATTCCTCAAAAGTTTTCTCAAAGTCAAAAAACTCTAATGGTTTAGAGTGCAAGGACAATGTAATCAATGTCTCAACATGACCCACATGAAGCATGTTACAAGCATCGGTTTTAATATGATTATAGATGCTAACCCCTCTCTTGCAATTAACTGAGGTAACTGGGATTGTAAGTCCAATACAAGCCAGTTTGCTCAGGTTTGGTAAACCTGTGGTGTCATGAAGAAAGCCTTTGTAAAATGCTGCCAAATCCTTGTTCTTGAATTGTTCCTGTTGCATTACATTCTTCAATAGAACCCACTCAACTTTGGCTAATGATGTATCTATAAATCTTAACCTTAATTTATTTTAACCTCACTGGTTTCCCATCCATCTCAATCTTCTTCTTTACCTATTTCTGTCTCCCATCCTCCTACTTCCTCTCCTCTCCCTTCCCATTTCTCTGCTCCCATCCATTCTTCTGCTGCTTGTAGACTTCAGTGCCATCAGTCTCAGTGATAACTATCCTCTAGGCTCTGTGACAGTAGGAGCCTGTTTAGTTTAGTCAGAGAGCCTTACCCCTTGTGTTTCTGCTCCTCCTCCCTTTTCTTCTATTCCCATTACTTTCCTACCTCTAAGAGATCCATAGGCAGTGTTGGACTTATTGGTCAAAGATGCTATTGAATGTGTTTTCCATCCTTCTCTAGGATTTTATTCCCATCTGTTTGTCATTCCCAAGAAAATACCTTTTTTACACACAGTCGGTTTCTCAACCTACCTTGATTTACCATGGATACTTTTCTTACCTTGCAGTGGTCTTTTGCTCCATGACTTTGTATGTCCAAGGTGAACGTTTAGGAGGCTTAATTTCACTTTCCCATTTCCCCTGCATCTAGATTTTACCTTTTGGTTTCTTCATCAAGGTAAAGTTTATCAGTTCCTCACTTTCTCTTATATTGGCCCTAAAATTTTCATTTGATAAAGTGTCTCATTGATTGTACTGTGTGCTTTGATGTGATGTTCAGTGGTTGTCAAGCTTACTTTGAAGTTGTGCATGCTTTTGCTCATCACATTCATTCCACCATTATATAGACTACTGGCTTTCTTTAGCTTCATCTCAGCAGGCCTCCTACAGCCATACTCTTCTCCTCCTTTAGGAGGTGGCTCACCTTGGCTGGATAGTCAAGCTAGAGAAGTCTCATCTCACAGTCATTTAATATCTGGTTCATTTGGGTGTGTTCTTAAACTCGCATCTCAGCAGGGTCCAGCCTTCTCCACTTCATCTGAGGGACATGGAGTGTTTGGTTTCCACTGTTCTATCCTTTCCTTCTCTCCATGGATGGGAGGTTCTTTCTCTTTTAGAGGCTTGGACTTTTATGGAATCCCATATCCCCTTGGTCATGCTCACATATGTTTTTTGCAGTGGATTGCCCATGATCAGTGGAAACTTCCTTGAGATCCCTTGTCCTCCTTCATTCATGTTCCTCCTTCCCTCCACACCAGTTTCACCTTTTCCTCCCTCTTATTCGGATTGGCATCTTTTTACAGATGTTTTCCTGATAAGATGGGGTGCTTATTTCAACTCTGGAGATTTTGCATTGATTCTCCCCAGACAAATCAATCTATTGGAACTTTTGGTAGTTCATTGAGCTTTGACTCATTTTCTCATATTGGTACATGGCTGTCTGGCTATGATCGATATGGACAATTCCACTGTGGTTTCCTATATCAATTACCAGTAGGGCACACAGTTTGTCACTCTCTGTTTCCATACCCTTGACCTTCTAGGCCCATTATTAATAAGTATGACTAGTAGTTTTTGTCATGTTCCAGGTACTCAGAATCTTGTAGTGGATTATCTCTCAAGGCCTGACACAATTTTTCTCACAGACTGTTCCTTCAATCCTAAGGTTTTCGACTGGCTTTGCTCTCATTTGGACACCCCTCTAATCAAAGCCTTTGCCACTTATCATAATAACAAGCTTCCCCTTTTTTGATTTCCTGTTCCACATCAATCAGCTCTGGCTGTGGATGCATTCAGTCAAAACTGGCTAAACTTCTCTCTCTGAGCTTACCACCCTATTCTCCTCCCTCATGTTCTCTACCTCATATGGCATACTGTTTGTTGGGTCCTTCTTGTGGCACCCTATTGGCCAGCTAAAGCATGGTTTCCACTGTTGAGCCTTCTCCAACCCTCCCCTCTTCTTCCTCTATCTCTTTTTCTTCTTCATCAGCCACATTCCTCCCTCTTCCATCTACCAGTGTCATCAGTGTGACTTCACGCATGGGATTTGTCTGGTCTCTTGGACTATTTTCGTGTGTAGCTTTTGTTCTTTCTCGTTCTATTCACCCATCCTTCCTCCTTTTCCATCTGTAAAAATGGTGTATCTTTTGCAGTTGGTCACTGCATCATTCTTTCTCTCATTCTCATCCTTAAGTTCCCATTTCTCTAAATTATTTATGTAGCTTTTTCACCAGGATTTATCAGTGTTGACCATCACTAGTTACTGAGTGGGTCTCTCTAATACTTTCAGATTCTCCTGTTACTGTCAATTTTATCTCCCTGGTCCTCACTGTGCTCTTCTGTTCCTTTCACTATCTTCATCCTCTCCATTCTTCTGTCTATCCCAATTGAGACTGGAATGTTGTTCTTCGTGCTTTTGCCTTTCTTCCATTTGAACCTTTGGCCTTCTCTTCTTTATACCATCTCTCTCTTAACACTCTCATTATGGGCTCGGTCAGTTTGACCAACCATGTGACCTTTTTGTACTCGTTTAAAGTTTTTATACATTTAATACTTATAATTCTCAATATAGTTCGTATATTTTCACGAAATTTGGCAGTCTTTCAGTTAATATTACAAGTCTTTCACATACAAAAAGTCATATTTCTTAGTGAAATATTTTGAATAGTCCATGTGCAAAGTAATTTTCATGATGAAATTAAAAATACTATTCCTCATCTCAAAAATCTCAAATTTCCTTTGTGTAATCCCTAAAACCTCCTAAATGAATTTCAAACATTTTTTTTCAGTAAAACTTTATAGTTTATCTGTTATTTTATCTACCATATCTCAAAATGGGATTGGTCAATTCAATCAACCTCATAACTACCAAAAAAAATCGATATAAACCTAAATTAACCTTTTTTCTTTCTAGAATGACTTCAAGTTGTAACATGAAACTACATTCGTTTATCCTAAGTAGCTCTAAGTTTGTAACAGTATACATCTATTTATAATTAAATTTTATTGTTATATTGCCCTTTGAACTGTGTCTAACTACTATCTACACCATAAAAAGTTGTAAATCACTCAGAGAACGTGCAGGTCACGTTATGCTATCGAATTACGTTACCCACGAGCTGCTATCATGTGTGCCTCATAATATTTTAATTATATTATTATTATTACTTATTTTACCTAATCTAGTCTTAAATAACTTAAAAAGATCTGTATTTTTGATTTTAGTTACTTTTATATTAATAAATAAAGAATAAATATGAAAAACAAGAAATAAAATACTTAACTAATCTTCCTTTTTCTTGCCATTGGGTTTTGAGGAGAGTTAACCTTAACTTTTTATAGTACTAATAGTAATGTACTTAATAATTTTTATTTGATTGAATAATGCACCAAAAACATAGACTAATAACATGCAAAAAGTAGACAATTTCCCCTAACTCAAAATTTTTCTGGCTTTCTAATTATGTGAAAAGAGCTGTTACAAATTCATCCAAGCTAGCTATTAACTTTCCCATGGGAATGATATTCTGTTCAGAACACAATGTTATACAATACATCATTTGATAGATGAAAACCATAACTTTTTATTGGTTATAGGTAATATATAATGAAGTGTAAGAGAGAACTATCAACGAATTGTGAAAGGGAGGATGTGACAGGAGGGGGTCTGATTTTCTATCCGATAGCTCTGCGCAGTAAAGGATACCTGGGGCAATGGGGTTAAAACCTATTTCCTCTCCCTTTTTGCCAGTGATTATCGATGTTTTGACATATATGCCATCGATTCTTCATACTTTCTTTTCCATCATTCCTATATCCTTCTCTATCCTGATTGTGATATTTTTCCCTAAAATTTCTGCAGCATGAAAAGGTGACAGTGTGTTCGCTCATATGTATATCCTGTCTATTTCTCATTTTTATTCTTGCTTTGATCATGATTGCCTGCTCTGTCCTATTCATGCAGCCTGTTGTTATTTGGCCTGCACTGCTACCATTCATGATTCCCATTCCTGTTTCTTCATTCTTTGGAATCCCTTTTCCACCTTTGTTCTTTTTTCCATTACTTTTAATCTGTTGGGTGTATTTCCCTTGTATGGGGATGCTCATCAGCATTTCCATGTGTCCTTATATAAAATCTAGTACCTTACACTCTCTGTGGCTGCTCACTTTCATCATCTGTTGAAGGAGATTCTTTGGGCTGGTATGTAGACAGCCCCTGACACTTTTGTTGCACACCATCTCCATCATCTGGCTGTTTCTTCTTCATCGAGCTATTGGCTGCCACTGGTTGCCATTCTACACACCTTTTACCGACTGTGACTGTGTGAGTTATGCTTCTTTTCCCTTTCCAGGGCCATCTCATACTTCACTGAATCCTGCTAAGTGGCAAGTGGTGCCTGCTAGGATATACTTATCCAAATTGCACAATATAGGGCCATCAAGACCTGCAATGGCTCTCACTTATGAGATGGAGTGTTCCACAAGACTGTTAAAGGTATCCTTGCAGTACTCATTCTCTTAAACAAGGCCCAATCCAGACCATACCTACTCATGGACTATCATGATTACAGCAGGCAGTTGATCCCTGTCCATCTTCATGCCTAGTTTCAAATCTAGTGCTGGCCTTCTTTTAGAAATATGGTTTTCTTGGTCACCTGTTGCACTGTCTTATGGTAATGCACTCATTTGGGCTTCCTAATGTGCTTTCTCCTCCTTTTTCTTCTAGTGGAACATGGGACTCTTTGCCACTCACCAGTTTTATGCTGATAAGGTGGTGGACCATGGAGAATTCCTCCTTAGTATAACGAATTCCACTCAGTAGAGAGTAGGGCAGTGGAGTTCTGTGTGTGTGTAGTACAGTTCATCCCTCTGGCTGGCTTCCCCATCCTACTGCTGCCCAGATGTAGAGTTCCTGGGTGGTCTGGTGTTGGATTGGCACAGGACCTGCCAACAATAAGCCCTCACTCAGTGCACAGGGTGGATGTTACTTTCCCATTTTACTTCACTGGGATCCTCCTTTTACCGGGGACTGGATGGCAAATTCTTGAATCTGCCTGGTTTTGGACTGGAGTTGATCCACCATGTATGGTCTGATGCATCCTAGCCACACTACAAAAATAGTACTTCTGTGAGCCTGATGCAAGTTCTGGACTGTGCTTGTAATTTCTGTCCTATCTAGCAATACATCCCTTCTTTATGGATGAAGAGTTTACCTTTGTACAGATGGGGTGTGGATCTCTCCATGGGTTCTCTTCAGGCACTTCCTGAAGGGAACTTGTACGAGTAGATTTTGCATCAGTCCCTCTACCACTTCACTGTGGGATTCTAGCCATATGTAAGGAGAGGTTACATATCATATTGAAAGTTAACATTTTCCAACACTGAAAATGTATTTCTGATAGATACTTACCTCTTGCATGCTTTCTTGCCTAATCTCAAATCGATGATTGAATAGTTAGTATAGAGGGTGTCAGATGCACTAGCAGGGTGTGTCACATTCCTATTGGTGGAAGGTTGTCACATGCTCATTTTCATGCAACAATGTAACAGTATCACTTGAAAACATGCAAGTTTAGGTAGGAGCCTCAATGTTAGTAGTAAGCGAAAAGTTTGCATATAGAGGGCAACATTGAATCAGGAAAGCTTTATGTGAGAAGAGATTAGAATATATCAGAAATACATTTTCAGTGTTGGAAAATGTTAACTTTGATGTTAGAAAATTCTGAAGTAGAGTATTGGAAGTCAGACACATCATGTGACACAGAAAAATAAATATTGAAAATTTATTTAAATATTTGCTTTTGAAATTAAAACTGATTTAATGCATATACACTAAGAGGTTTTATAGCCAATATGACTGTCTAGTAGCTTCTGTCTCTGCTTGTCAACTAACTTTTGAAACAGTATCTTGCATATATCTACCAGTTAATGGAAATGCTGTGTTTATGTTGTCCTTTTGTGGAGAAAATTTACTTATAATTTTTATTTTTTGAAGCAAGATATGTTTGGTACTTAATAAATGATATGTTAGTGTATAAAATTATGACTTGATTTTCTTCAGAAAAGCCTCTTTAACTAATGAATAGGATCATTCTTTGTAAGTTGTATTTAATGCTTTACTTATAAAGTGAAACTGTAAACACATGGTTATGAAGTTAGATTAAATTATAAGTTTTAAGACTTTGTTACTATAATGTCATGTTGATCTACATCATATCATTACACCCTCTGATTTCACTTCATGGAACTATTAACACGTTTTCTATACAACTTCCATAGTCATGACATCTTTAGCCTGTCATGGCACCAGCACCCTCTGGTTCAACTTTGTGGAACTACAATGTCATGCATAGCAATGTTCTCTTTATCTTTTGCCTGTCCTAGCAATGCGCTATCTGGTGACATTTAGGTGCACTATGATGCCATGCCTATCAATGCTCTCTCTGTATTTTGCACTTAGTGGAACTATGATGTCATCATCTCTGATGTGTATGACATCATCGTCTCTACCCCTTCCTTATTGTCTGAGGTCAACACACGTATGTATCACCCTGTGGTGGCGTGCTTGGCAAGTGCTGCCTTAACTACTGATTGGAATAATTTTTCCCTAATGAATAGTGAAAGTTGCACTTTCTGCTGAGATATTTCTTTCAGATGTTCTAGCTGATATCAAGAAATATGAAGAAATTTCATATGTCTGTTTAGAGAATATAGGCTTGAAATAGTCTTTTAGAGATGGTATAATGATGTATTTCTGATTATGAGATTATGAAATCAGTTGGACTTCATTGTTCAGTAGTTGTTGGTTTTTAACTTTCCAGTTGAAAGTCATAATACAAGTCATTATATGATTATTATTTTTGTATTTACATTTCATATTATTTATTTAAAATGTTAGTGACTGTTATGTACTGTTACCTTTGATTTTTCAGTTTCTTCACTTTGTGAACAATCCTAGAAGATGGAACAAATAATATGAAGACTTTGAAGTTTGGAGATTTATTAGAGTCCTGTTTGTTTTACTGAATTAAATTACAGTGCAAGTTAACAATGGCAGATTTTCTAAGAACTTTTATACTTATTTCTAGATTTGCTGTAAAATGGATGTCATTTGTCATGATGTGTTTAAGTTGGGCAGTAGGCATCAGCAATACTGCTCAGAGAAAAGAGAATTACCTGCCGGATTATAATGTTTACCATAACCTTTCTAAGATATACTCTGAAATATCAGAGATAGCTGAAAGAAACCCATTTTACATGCAGCTTGATAATACTTATGTCTCTAGACATGGACGTTCTCAGCTTTTACTACACATTTCCAATTTCTCAGATAGTCATGAACCTAATGAAAATGGACAACCTCAGTGGACACCATCCAAAGTGAGAATTCTCTTTTCCTTTGGAGAACATGCTAGAGAATTTTTTCCCATTGAAAGCCTTTTTCATCTTCTCAGAAATTTAACTCGGGGAATTCATGCTGTTAGAGACTCTCCAGAAGAGCTGTTCAGTAGAAAGCTGCTTTCCAAAGTAGATTTGTTCATCATTGTCATGCTGAATCCTGATGGCAGAGAATATATCGAAAAAACCCATAATTACTGTTGGAGAGGAACAAGCACAGGAGTAGATGTGAATCGAAACTTCAACTGGAACTATGGAGGAGAAGGAAGTGCTTCAGAAACTGGATCTGAGGAACTGAGGGGACCACAGCCATTTTCTGGTATGATTCTTGGCCTTTTGTTGTTACAGAAATATATATGTGTTAATATTTATGTCATAAGTCTGCAATGTTTCTTTGACAGTTCTTTCTAAATTTCATTGTTTTATTTTTTATCTTGAAACTTAAATGATGGTTAAGAATTTTTGTACCTTGATAATTTACAGAGATACTCTTACACTAAGGATTGTTTTTAGAATCATCATAGATTTTTCTATGGCTAGACAGATATTCATATATATATAACAATTTTAATATCAAGTACTGTAAGTGGTTAGGTTAGTTCAACTATGAAAAGTAAAATTAATTTCTTATCAAAGGTGGTACTTTTTACAGTTACATGTACATAAATATATATAGTTACTTATGTTAAAAAATATAATGTAAATTTACATTTAAATGAGAAAATGCAGTAAATAAACTTTGCATGTGCCCTAATACTGAAGTCGTTTGCAGTTTTTCAAATCCCTATTGTTTATTTGATATCACCTAGGGTGATAATAATATTAGTTTCTTATGTTTTCTCAAGTAATTGATTAAAGCTTACTCATATTCAGATTTTTATGGAAAAGGTAAATTAGATATTACATTCATCTATATACTGCACACATAGCTGCTGCTTGTAAAAAGTTCAAATTCCACATTACCTTCTATCATATTTCTTAAAATATTTGCCACTCATTTGCATTCTCTCTAAGAAATTTGTTTTTCCCATGTTTCACGTTTTAATGAAATCAATCAAAAAATTATTCACAATACCGTTTGCGCTCTTTACAAAATTTCTTACTTTACTTTTTGAAAATTGAATTGGTCTTTCCTTTTACTCCCGATCAACAATCAAATATATTTTCTTGAAATATAAATAACATGAATGGATTGAAATATTTAATTTAATTACCTCAAAATAAACCTTTATTTCGGTGCAATATTGAAATTAGCTTGAATTCTTCATAACCTCTGAATAGTGGTTGACCCAATGGATCCTGGTGGTCTGGTATGAACTAAAGTTTGACATTGATACCTCACATAGGTAGATATATATGTGAAGATTTATAATTTTCTTATTTATTGTACCATTTAAAATAAGTTCAGATGGTGACTAATAAATTATTTTGTTAATGTGACAAGCTTTATCGATTTGTAGTATTCAAATGAAGATTTATGTTAGTGGTAGAAGATCTCTGCTAGAGTAGGTTGAAACTCTTTACACTATCCTAAATGAACTGCTATGTTATCTGCTTGAAGCTGGTAGCTTGCTTATGTGTTAAGTATATTTTGAACATAATTCTTGCTTTGGTATTATTTAAATTCCATATTCAGAAACATTTCTTATGGTAACCATTTATTTTTAAGAAGTTATTTTTTCTTCTTGTTACAGAACCAGAATGTTTTGTTTTATTGGACATTACCAAGAAATACAGTTTTGATGCTTTTGTTTCATTTCATTCAGGAATTCGGGAGATTTATGTACCATTTGCAGGTGAGTGAGGATCAAATGTAGTAATTCCTTGAATAACAGAGATTAGAAAAATTACCAGCACCACAATACTATAAACCACATATTAACCATTATTTAAAATTTATATCTTAAATCAGTATTTCAGAGAAATTAAGTTTTTTTATTTTAGACTGGATTAATAATATGAGTCCCCTCTTTAATGAAAGAATTGCATTGTTTGTTCACAACTATTTGGATAAAATAGTTTTTGTCTGTGAAAACATTTCGCTGCTTGTATTCTTATACTATGTTATCACATAAAATTTAAGGACACCAAGGGGCCTGTTGGTAAAATCGGGGCTGTCCCATCCATTAAACTAAACACAATCCAACTTGACTTTAAAAAAGACCCCAAAAAACTCACAAAGCAGCCCTTATCACTGAAATATTTCTAAGGCCTTTCCTTAGGCTCTCTTAAATTTACTGCATCCACAACATCTGAAGGCATCACATTCCAAAGGTCACACACCCTGTTAGGAAAATAAAATTTTCCTACCTGAAGATGATTTCTGTCCTACCAAAATTTATATTGTGTCCCCTAGTCCTACTATTCTGACCATTAAATATGAAGAAAAGATGATGAATTGACACTTTTAGTTCCTTTAACACTCTTAAACTCCTCAATCAGATCCTCTTTAACTCTTCATTTTTGAAGACAAAAATTTCAGATATCTTAACCTGTCTTTGTATGACAACCTTTCCATCAAAGGTATCATCCTAGTTGTTCTCCTTTGAAACCTTTACAACAATTCAATGTATTTCTTAAGGTAACAAGCCCAAGACTAAACACAGTACTCTAAAAATGGCCTAACCAGTGACCTATACAATGAAATTACAACTTTTTTAGAGACTTGTATTCAATATTTCTGTAGATACAACCTAAAATCCTAGTTTAAGAGCCTTATCAACCAAAACACAAAGATCTTTTTCTTCCATAACACTGTGAACTTTATTCCCATCCAAAGTATACTTATAATTTAGATTATGGTAACTGACATGCATTACCTTGATTTGCATATATTGTAATTAAAAGCCATCTTAGTCTTTTCCCTGATACAAAGGTCTGATGAATCATTTGCGTCTTAAAACCATTGTTTACCTTCATCAGAGTTTCCCTTGGTTTCATCCTGCTAAACCATAGTTCCACATATATTGAGTCCCAAAGTATATGCACTTGCATACTGATATGCAATATTCATGCACACACACAGTAATGGTGGGTGATCCCAAATAAGTAAACACCAAGATGACTGACATTATAATTAAACTTTGATTAAGTTGGAAGTAAATCATATTATGTTTCTGTTAAGCATAAAGTTGGTAGTCTTTCTAACTCTATTTTTATGTCTAACATATATCTAATATGAACATGTATAAATAAAACAAGTCTAATACTGTTAATTACATCAAGTGTATATAGATGATAAATTCAGTACTATATAACAAAAATGAAAAATGTGGCAACAAAACCAAACTGTCAAGAATGAAACTGAAAACTGTCACTAACAACAAAATTCAAAGTTATAATCTTTATCTATATTTATTTTACTTGGATTTGTTTGGATAATTATATATATATATACAGGCACACAATTGTAAAATATTGTACCTCTCCATTTCAGTCACATTCAGTGTACTATGATTGTTGTGTTCTGGATGTGAAACAACATTGTCTAGAAGACATAGATAGCAGGTAATAACTGTGTGACAAACATTTCTTATATATAAACAGTCTGCTGTCAAGATAAGTGATGATGATGTAGCATGAATACTTTTCAGGTCCTGTGACTGTTTAAATATGTTGTTTACTGTTAAATATAGATTCCGAGTCTAGAAGGCTGAAACGTAAACCAACTAACATTGAGTTAATGATGAAGCTAGCCAAAAAGATGGCAGAAATAACTGAGCCTCATTTTGTGTATGGTCAAGCATTTGTTGTTAATCAATACACTGCAGATGGCACCATCTTTGACTACATGGCCGGAATTAAGAAGGTAAGGTCTGATCAAAGTATGGTCATATATATTTTGTAAAAAGCATTAAAATTTTTTTTTGTTGTTTGTAATGATAAATTGCATAATAACAAGGCTTGGAGTATACTGCTATCATTAATGCTCTACTTCTATACAATGAAGGAAAACTGGTAGCAATATGTTTTTAGCTTTTAGAAGAAAGAAAGAGTTGGGAAAAAAAGAACAGAAGATTAGGTCATTGAAGACAATTCAACACATTGAGGTTACCTAACAAATAAAATTGTTCAATGAAAACATAACTTCTTACATCCATAAAAGTAGCTAAAACTGAAAGGAATTGAAACTAGCATTACACTATCTGGTTAACTATTCCATGGGTTAAGAACTCTAAGGGGGAAAACATTTTTGTCTAATAACCAGGTTTGACCTGGATTTCCAGAATTTATTTCTTCTGTTATTCAGGATTTAATACCCAAAATTTATCTTTTTATCATCTCAACAAACCTCTCATGGGCAGTTTATACAAGACCCTAATGTTTTTCAGCACCTGAATCCAGGGTTCTCAGCACCTGGGGGCAAAGACACTTTTGGTGCCCCCACCTCTGAAATGTTTTAATTATTTGTTTTGTGACTCATTACTCACTTAATGACAATAACATAAAGAATTAATTACCATCTTACACAGGCCTAAAATAAAGTCACAATATAACATCTCATGATATCACAACTATAAACCTGGAACTAATGAAGTATAGCCTACTAGGTGTACTTACATAACTTGTAAACCATTTGATATTTATATCA